GCCTCAGCCTCCCAGAGTGCTAGGATTACAGGCGTGAGCCACCGCGCCCGGCTTCTTAGTCCCTTCTTTATTAAAAGTTTTCCACACGGTTGATAGATGATACTTTCTTCAGGCCAACCTTCTCTTCTTTTATAAGACAGTGGGCAAATGAAATTCAATGTATAAAATTTCACCTTTTACACAGAGCTTTTCTTAAAGACTTATGTACTGTTGATTGTGTAAGGATTGTATAAGTTCAGTGCTATTTATTTTTAGCATTTTAGCATTTCTATGTTTCCTTATGTCTTAAATTCAGATTTTCCTGTATATTACATTTTGTGCATATTTTAGTAAAATTTTAACAGTTTGAATGTGGTAAAGTGGCAAAATTTTCTTTACCCTAAAATCTTCTTGTGTACATTTTGAGCCACTTAATATTTTTGTGCCTTGTTTTCTCTGAAGATAATATAAATATACATATTTATATACTTTTTTTCCTATTAGAACTATGAGTATACTTGTTTATTACAGTTTTTCTTAAATTCCAAAAGATGACCTTTTGCCTTTTAGTAAGAACAAATAAAAATCATTACAGTAGTCAGAAGATCTCTAAACTCAGCATTAACCATCCTGGCTTCTATAGTATTAATAGACTGCTTGAGACCCCTGTTCTTTATTGTGGTACCAAGTTTACTCCTAGCCAGTACAGCAAACTGCTGGAGAAAGGCTTTGTGGTTACTAATAGGTACGTACGTTGAGTGAAGAGGTGGGAGGAAAACAGAATGACATTTTGACGTTACTTTATTTTTTCTTTTTTCACCCCCACAGCAAGTCGAAGTAGATTGCCAACAGTGTATGCTCGAAATCCTGGATACAGCAGGGACAGTAAGGATGTTTTATCTTTTTTTGATAGAATTTAATTTGTGAGCAGGTTTTGTCATGTGAATAATTCTTCTGAGTAAAAGTAATCATTCTGGTTAAGAACAAATTCTCTGAATGTAAGTCTTAAATTTTCTGTATGTGTTTCACACTTCGTCTCTTAAAAAAAAATTCTATATGTGTGAAATACACTGTGATATATTTAATGCTCAGTTATCATAGTCAAATTGTATATTGAGTTCATGTGCAAAATCTGGTGTTGGGTTTCTTCTCCCTGTATTGAGGTAAGGATTATGCTATCGGTTCTTTAAAAAAAAAGTTATTTTAAATCTAGAATTTTAGTTAATATAGGTATTTCTGTGGGTTTAAATAAGATTTTTGTCTCTTGGCAACACAGTCATTCATTTTTATAAAGGTTATTTTTCCTTTCAGTAGCATTTTGACGTTGACATCTTCAAGGGGGCTGGGAATAGACACATGTTTTCTTTTTGTTGTTTTTTTTTTTTCTTCCGCATGGTCACGTTTATTGAAGGCATGAGGGGCACAAGGGGGCCCTGGGTGTCTGGGGGGAGGCCCGGCATCAGCATCGGCCTGAACGGTGGCCCAGCAGGTGGGGACAGGGGCTCCACAACCTGGGTTTACTTGAAAGTGTGACTCTCAGCTCCACCCCGCCCGAAGCCTTTGGGCCCGAACATGGCAGAGTAGCAAAGTTGCGATAGGGCTTGCCTTCATGCTCGGCGTGACCCCCGGAGGTGAGCGTCTTCCCACATTTCTCACACTTCAGGCAGGGCCGATGCCAGTCCTTGCCCAGAGAGGTCACCCGCTCAGCGAAGTACACCTCCTTGTCGCACTTGGGGCACTTGGGCATGGTGGCGCCGGGTCCGGGTCTGAGGCTGCAGCTGGGCAGGAGAGGCTGTTGGCGGGAGACTCTGTTTTGTTTTGTTTTTTGAGACAGAGTCTCACTCTGTTGCCCGGGCTAGAGTGCCGTGGCGTCAGCCTAGCTCACAGTAACCTCCAACTCCACTCCTGGGCTCAAGCAATCCTTCTGCCTCAGCCTCCCGAGTAGCTGGGACTACAGGCATACGCCACCATGCCTGGCTAATTTTTGGTATATGTATTTTTAGTTGGTCAATTGATTTCTTTCTATTTTTAGTAGAGACGGGTCTCACTCAGGCTGGTTTTGAACTCCCGACCTAGAGCAATCCGCCTGCCTCTGCCTCCCAGAGTGCTAGGATAACAGGCGTGAGCCACCACACCAGGCTAGACACATGCTTTCTGAGGAAGGCAAAATCTTTAAGATTATTTTGAGCCTCATTTTTCCCATCTTTAATTGAATATAATGGCAGTACATCATAGGGTACTTACAATGATCAAATGAAATAATGATTATAAACCACTTAGCACAGTGTCTGTTACATAGCATGGAATCTGTGTATTTGCTTTTATTCATTAATACCATCACCTTTATAATTTCTTTCTTAGTTTTTTGGGGAGACAGAGTCTTGCTTTGTTTTCCAGGATGGTCTCATACTCCTGGGCTCAAGCGATCCTCCTACTTCAGCCTCTCAAGTAGCTGGGACTACAGGCACATACCACCACACCCAGCCTCCCTTTTTAATTTTGTTTTATTAATAACTGATGATTTATACCTATACTCCCATGCAAAATATATATACATTAAGCAATTTTTGCTTTACTTTTCCTTTTTTTTCTTTATACACATAGACTTTATGCGTTAGGCAATTCCCAACTTTAAAATGGATGGTATTCTTAAATATTAGAAGTTGAATAAATTCAGCACAAATTTTTTCACTATAATTTTGTAAATGATGAGAAAGTTTGACATAGTTCAAAACAAGCATGTAAGCAGACTGGAGCAATTATACCAATATAGTACTAATTACACTATATTTTTCTACTTTTTTTGGTGGGAAAATAAATCTTGATTCCAATGAGAAGCTTTGGATCACTGGAACTACATATTTCTTGTATCAGCTGAATCAAGATATCTCTCCATCTTACTATCCCAACCCTGAATTTTCCTAGCTTCTGAATCAATGAAATTTCCCTTTGTTTTGAGAAACCCCAATAGCTAAAAAGAATATGTTCTATTTCTTTTCACCACCTCTATAGTGTGAAGGCATTCTTTCTTCTTCCCCCATCCAGATTATAAGGAAGTTCTTCTCTACTGCCAAGATCTTTCCTTTGTGCTCTCCAAAATCATGTATATGTCCCATCCTAGCACTCAGCAAATGGTGTTACAACTGCCTGTTTGCTTGACTGTGTCCCCAGTGCCTTGCATAAAACTTGGAAAGTAGCTGATGCTCATTAATCTTGTCCCAGATCACGCCTTACTTCTTAAAGGTTTTTGTTCATTCTCTCCAACACTGCTTCAGTCAAAATTCTTGGTGATTTTACTATCCAAATAGAATCTATATGGATATCATAGGTGATACCTGGCCTGTCAGTTCCTTGGTCTCCACTGTATTACCTCCCTAATCTCATTTCCAAGTATCTCAGTCTCCACTCACCACGTGTTTATCTGTCTCAGTTCGTTTATTGTAACATCTTTTTATTATCCCTCATATTTTCTGCCTCTTCTGCACATAGCTTCAAGTCTACAATCTGTCATTCATAATCATTCCCTTGTGTATGTCCTCAACTCTCTTGATTTTTCAGCAACTTTTGATTTAATCACTATTCTGAACTGTAAAACCTTTATTCAATCCAGGAAACAACACTTGCCTGGTTTTTGCCCTGTTTCATTGGTTACTTCTAAGTCACCTTTCCTAATTCCTCTTTATCTCCCCAGCCTCTTAATGTTGGATAACCTCAGGGTTTAATACTTGGACTTCTCTTTTCTAACAACACTTCTTTGGAGTTCTTTTTTAGTAGGATAGTTTTAAATACAATCTGTATGCTGATATATACTAAATTTATAACTCCATCCCTGAGTTCTTTTCTCAACTTCAGACTCTATATATCTAACTGCCTGTTCAATATCTCATCTTGTTTATGTATCTAGTAAGCACCTCAAACATAACATGTCCAGACTGAACTCCTGATGTCCCTTCCATGACCAGGTCTGTTCAGAGTCTTTCCCATCTCAGTAAATAGTACCCTTTTAGTTGGTTATGCTTAAAACCTTGGAGTCATCTTTGACTCTCTCTTTTGTTAAATTCTGTGTGTCCAGACTCTCAGCAAATCCTATGGGTTTACCTTCAAAACTTAATACCATCACTAGAATCTTAGGACATTGTCTTGATCTAAATAATTGTTAAATAATAATAATCTAAATAATAATTATCTCTGACATCTTTCACTGGATTATTTCAGTAATTTTGAAACTGGTCCCCTGCTTCTGTTCTTGACCTCCTTCAGACTGTTCTCAATACAATAACCACAGTAATTCCATTTAAATATAAGTCATGTCATGTCTTCCTCATCTTAAATTATGTATTCAGCTCAGAGTAAAAGCCCATGTCTTTATTACATTTGCCTTTAAGGTCCAAATGATAATCATGCTCTTCTCTGGCCCCACTTCCTGTACTCACTCACTAGTTAACACTGTTTCAGTGAATGTGGCCTCTTTATGGCTTCTCATATACTTTAGACATGTTTCCCCTCTGCACCTTTGTACTTGCTGTTCCCACTGTCTGGGATAGTCTTTCTCCATATGACCATAGAAGTTACTCCCTCACCTCCTTCAGATCCTTACTCAGGTATTACCTATGAGATCTTCCCTGACCACAGTCTTTTAAAATATAACTTTCTATTCCTACCCTTAAAAGAAATTCCCTATCCCCCCTGCTTTGTTTTTCTCTGTAACATTTATTACCATCTGGCATACTTTCATTTTGTTTGTCTCCATGTATACTCCTCCAGGGCAGAGATTTTTGCCTCTCATGTTCACCAGTATATTCCTAGTGCTTCACCAATGTCTGACACATAGAGGGTCCTCAGTTGATATTTGTCGAATGGATAAATCTTGCAGAATGTCCTTAAGAAGGAGGTTGGCATTCTCCATAGGTGACCAGCCATGGCAGTTCTGTAAGGGCTATTCTTGAATTGGATTTTTAAAACTCAGGTTGCCTAATATGTTTATTTTTTTTATTTAATAAGAAGCAGAGACTATGATCTCAAGAGAACATGATGGGGATAATATGGCCAGGCGCGGTAGCTCACGCCTGTATTCTTAGCACTCTGGGAGGCTGAGGCAGGAGGATCATTTGAGCTCAGGAGTTCTAGACCAGCCTGAGCAAGAGCAAGACCCCGTCTGTACTAAAAATAGAAAGAAATTAGCAGGACAACTAAAAATATATAGAGAAAAAATTAGCTGGGCATGGTCGTGCATGCCTGTAGTCCCAGCTACTCAGGAGGCTGAGGCAGAAGGATCACTTGAGCCTAGGAGTTTGAGGTTGCTGTGAGCTAGGCTGATGCCACAGTACTCTAGCCCGGGCAGTAGAGTAATACTCTGTCTCAAAAAAAAAAAAAAGATGGGAATTATATTGCTAGTATTTGTAACACTAAAATTATATTTGCAAGTGAATTCATTTATTATATAATTAAGCATTTGAACAGTGGCAAAATATAACTGGTTACCATAATGAGGCTATCCTGGAATATACAAAGTTTATAAATGAAAGCTCTCAGAAACCTCCAGTTTTTACTTCTTTCCCAGAAAATGCACTGGCAGCAGCATAGAAAGCTCAGCTATATTCCTGTAGCACACCAAAAGACTAGGATTTAAAGCTAGGGAAATGACTGAGTGGTAGCATAGCTGACTCCCTGGAATACAAAAGGAGTGCATCAGCCAAAATGGAGCAGCTGGCACTGGATGTAATAGACAAATAGAGGTAGTGTGATTATGGAGAGCCAGTAACCCAAGGCACCAAAAACTTAAGAAACCTTGTGGATTTAGGCCTTATATTATGTTTGTGCACCCAAAGATGCAAAGATCCAAAGCAAAGACTCAACATATATACATTTTTAATTTTCTACCATGTGTGCTTTCTTTATACTATATATAAAATTCCAAAACATTTTTAAATAAGTTTTTTCTTATATTAATATCTGTAGTTCTATAGTAATGACTATAGAGGAAATGGACCAAATGACCAAATAAGAGGAAATGGGCCTAAAATTAAAATAGAAATAATTTTATAGTTCAGTGTTGGGTTTATACTTCAGATTGTTTTCACTTAGGCAGTGGTTGTGTCATTAGTTTGCAAATAAAATTAATTAGGATCAAGACTAATTAGGATGTGTATATAAAAAAAGAATTATGTGCAGTTCTGCTAAATTACACAAACGCAATTAAGATGGTTAGGAATTCCTTCTAATTCTACAGTTCATTATCGTTTTTTCTAGTTACCTCATAGTTGCTAGAAACTATGTAGTATGTCTTATGTTTTCTGTCATGACAACATGTAATAAAAAAGTAGTAGCTCACTTGTGATTATTGTTTTAAATTGTTCCAGTATACATTCAAGAAATTTACATGTTTATAATTGCATATTTTTTAATTATAGGAGCAATTTACAGCGATGAGGGATTTGTATATGAAGAATGGCCAAGGGTTTGCACTAGTATATTCTATTACAGCTCAATCCACATTTAACGACTTACAGGACCTGAGGGAACAGATTTTACGGGTTAAGGACACAGAAGATGTAAGTATTTTTCTCTCTATAAGACATGCTGCCATCTCTCTGTGGCCATACAAAAAGGTATCTTTTTTCACTATCAGAAGAGTATTTGAAAGATATCTACCACATCCCTAAAAGAGCCCCTGTAAACAAAAAAAAAAAATTTAACTTTCAAAATTAACCTACAAATTATATGCTGAGATGTTTATAAAATGAGGACATGTGATAAAGTGTTTATTGTGCCATGTGACTAAAAAATGCAATTAGAGAAAAGGAGTCAGAGAATACTTCATAGAAAAAGTGGGATGCCAGCTCTGAAAGGTGGTAGTTATATCAGAAACAGTATTCAAAGAACATTATTAAGAGCCATAAAGGTATGTTCCTATTTGTAAAATTCTATTGATATAATATATTTTTATTTTTTACTTATATGTATTTTTTCTTTGAATTATGTTAAAGATTTTAATTAACTGGATTTTTTAAAATTTTCTTTTAGAATCTTATCTCATTGGCTGAATAACATTGTTTTTGTTGTTTTTTTTTCTTTTTGCAAAACAAAATGTATATTGTATACATTTATCTCAGTTTTGAACTATAGAGAGTTCCTTTCAGTTATATAAATTAGAATATAAAATTTTAGTTGTACCTTTCTGTTTTTGTGTATTCTTTCTAATTATTAATGGGAGCATATAAATCTGTTCAGAACCTTAACCTTGAGTAATATTGTAGGCAGAAGGGATTTATACCATATGACTCATGACCAACTGCAACATAATGAATAATTTTCTTCCTTCCCATGACTAATTTATCCAAGAGAGTTCTGTTTTCATAGGCAATTATGTGCAAATTATTGAGCTCTGATAATTTTAATTCTTTCATCCCATGTAATTAGCTAGAAAAGATGGAGTTGTGAATGCCTAGTATGTTTAATCTAACTCACGATAATTGCTTATTTTAGGTCCACCATGTCTCTTAAATTCATTCTTTTTTATAGTGTCTGTCACCTCAAATAAGTGACTTTGTTCTCTGGATACCTTTTAACTAAGGAAATTAATACAGTTAGCTACCTGTTTTACTGGAAGTAGGGAGCTTTGGATGGATGTAGCCAAGTAACTGTGGTATGGAGAAAAGGGGAAGACGTAGCTGCTTTGTGGCTTTATTTTTATCCTCCTTGTTTGATCCTCCTTAACATCTCACCTAAATAGGTCTTCAGATGTAGATGTCAAATATAGAAGTAGAACCTATTACAATGTTGGTCTTGCCACTACTTTTGCCACTACTGTGAGATGAAGCACTTAAACCAGTTAGGTCCAATGAGTTTATTTTCTGTATTGCAAGAGGTTCCTTTTCCTTCATATTTTTCTGATTGAAATTCAGTTATTAATAGTAGTCCACATGAGAATTTGAGGATTATATTCATAAAATAATTTAACATATGTATGTATTAATAGTAGGATCTCTTCCATATTTTTTAAATCTCTTCCCTCTCCTTCTACCTTCCCCTCAACACACATGCATACACTTTTTGTTAGCACTTGGTAAAGCTTACAGTCCTAACCTAATACATTTTAGCTGGTGGCAGGTAATTGCTTATTCATAAAAAGAGGCTAAGTAATGAGAATGCTCATTTTATGTTTTTTCCTTTCCACAGGTTCCAATGATTTTGGTTGGCAATAAATGTGACCTGGAAGATGAGCGAGTAGTTGGCAAAGAACAGGGCCAGAATTTAGCAAGACAGTGGTGTAACTGTGCCTTTTTAGAATCTTCTGCAAAGTCAAAGATCAACGTTAATGAGGTAACCTGCAGCTGCTGGGTAGCACAGACAAATGCCTTCCTAGTTTCCTTTTCTTTAAGTTAACAACCAGAATTTTTTCTTAAAAATTTTTTAAGCACTCTTGATTCTATCACTTGATAGAAAACACTAATTTATAGAAACCATATCTTAGCTTACATAAGGTTACTTTGATGGCTTTAATGAGGACACTTAAATTGACTCTATTGTCAAAGATGAAGTTAAAATTAAAGAATATGTATAAAGTCTTGCTAAGCTTGCTAAGTGATACGACTTAAAGTGGTGTGTGAAAACTGTTATATCACCTTTGTATCATGACAGTTATCTATCTAGATGTGTTATAAACAGATTGTAAAGTCAAGTAGGAAAATACAAAAATTGAAGTAGTTATTATAATAAACTATTATGTACATAGGATTTCTTCCTTTGGGAGCCAGAGCACAATGTATTACATGTTTGTAGGAACCTGTGTGCTACTAAACCTTTTCTGGGTTGCAGTTTGCAGTGCAGCAGAGCTACTTTTTTATAGCAGTTTTGTTAAAGTCAACCCTTGATGTGAGGATTTATAAAATGAAAATAGAAAAACAATAAAATGAAATGCATTAGCCATCTTAAGAATCTTTACTTTTTTGGAAAACATACAAACTTCATACTCAACGTGAGTAATCTGTGTGAGTATGGACATGCATGTGGAATCCACACAGTCTTTTAGGCTTAATACCATGGGTGCACAAGACGCTTGCTTTCTTTTCTTTTTTCTTTTTTTTTTTTTTTTTTAATTTTGTCCCTGAGTTAAGCACTCCACTATCTTGAAAACATAGCTTTGGACAGGAATACTTAGCAAGTAAGCTGCATGCCCAGGTATAAAGGACCAGTAATATACTGGGCCCCTAAAATATTAGTGCAATTCCCAACTATCCCCACCAGTCAAAACCTTAAAAGGTTCCCTTTTGTTAACTTTACCATAAGCCTTTTACTTTTTTTTTTTTTTTGAGACAGAGTCTCACTTTGTTGGCCGGGCTAGAGTGAGTGCCATGGCGTCAGCCTAGCTCACAGCAACCTCAAACTCCTGGGCTCAAGCAATCCTCCTGCCTCAGCCTCCTGAGTAGCTGGGACTACAGGCATGCACCACCATGCCTGGCTAATTTTTTTTTCTATATATATTAGTTGGCCAATTAATTTCTTTCTATTTATAGTAGAGACTGGGTCTCGCTCTTGCTCAGGCTGGTTTCAAACTCCTAACCTCAAGCAATCCGCCCGCCTCGGCCTCCCAGAGAGCTAGGATTACAGGCGTTAGCCACTGCACCCGGCCTACCATAAGCCTTTTAAAAAAACAAAACAGAAGGAGCTTCTTTCCTTCCTTTTCCTATACTCTTGCCTATGTACTTGCCATTTGTAGCATTGCAGGTAATCAGTCAGAATTCTGATCACTTTAAACATAGATGAGAGTAAGAATGGGTTAGATTATTAGAGTCCTGTGTTTTTGCTTACTGTTCCTCTCTGGCCTGTGTCTGTAGGTCATTCTTCCTTGATTAATAAACACCTGGCAGAAAAAAATGAATCTTGCTACAAATCCTGTATTTTACAAATAATCAAGAATGCCATAAATTGATCCTGAGAATAAAAAATAAAAGAATACCAAAGCTTACTTTTTTTTTTTTTTTTTTTGAGACAGAGTCTCACTTGTTGCCCAGGTTATAGTAGTGAGTGCCGTGGCATCAGCCTAGCTCACAGCAACCTCAAACTCCTGGGCTCAAGTAATCCTTCTGCCTCAGCCTCCCGAGTAGCTGGGACTACAGGCATGTGCCACCATGCCCGGCTAATTATATATATATATTAGTTGGCCAATTAATTTATATTTATAGTAGAGACGGGGTCTCACTCTTGCTCAGGCTGGTTTTGGACTCCTGACCTCGAGCAATCCACCTGCCTCAGCCTCCCAGAGTGCTAGGATTACAGGCGTGAGCCACTGCGCCTGGCCTCAAAGCTTACTTTTTTAAATGAGACCATGACAAGTACATAAAAACAAGAAATTTATAAATTTAATTTATTCGGCAAATACTTATTGAGTACTCTTGTCTGGCACCATGTTAAGCACCTGGTAACCAGACAGACAATATTCCTGCTGTAAAGAAGTTTACATCCAAGTGAGGGAACAAGTCCTGCTGAGATCTTCAACAACTATTAAAAAAGTGATTTTGACAAAGAACATATTAGGATTGGCGAATGTGCTTGGCTAGTGGAACAATGGTGTGAAATCACCGTCTGCAAGGTAGTTGACCTTAGGGATCTAATTTCTTTCTGTCCCCGTCCTTACCCTCACTGGTACCCACCCACCAAGTTCCGTCAGGCTCCTCTGGGGCTACATTGGGCCAGGGTCCGGTACATAGGATCTCTTCCTTTGAGAGCCAGAGGACAGAGCATTACGTGTTTGGGGGAACCTGTGTACTACTAAACCTTCTCTAGGTTGCAGTTTCCAGTGCTGCAGAGTTACTTTTTCATAGAAGTCTTGTTAAAGTCAACCCTTGACAATGAGGGTTTATAAAACAAAACTGGAAAAACAATAAAACAAAATGAAATGCATTAGCCACCTTAAGAATCTTTACTTTTTTAGAAAATACACAAACTTCATACTCAAAATTCTTGAGTATAATAATTTGATTTTCTTTTAATATTTCTCTTTTTATAGCTTGATATCCAGCTACTGGATTCCTTTTATAATTAATTGTTCCTCAGATCACTTATGTTTTGGAAATGTTTTTGTGATTTTTGAGTGCCCGAAGATAGAGGGATACTTTTACAAGAATCAGTTCTTAGCCTCAAATTTGAAAACAAATAAGGACATACTGTTTAACTAGAAAGACCTCTAATTCTCTGATATATATATATTTAAACTCTTATTCACACCACTTTTGCTATGTTCTAAAAGTAGCATATAGCTATACTAGAATCACATCAGGCTGGGTGCAGTGGCTCACGCCTGTAATCCAAACACTCTGGGAGGCCGAGACAGGCGGATTGCTTGAGGTCAGGAGTTTGAAACCAGCCTGAGCAAGAGCGAGACCCCCGTCTCTACTATAAATAGAAATTAATTGGCCAACTAATATATATAGAAAGAAAAATTAGCCGGGCATGGTGGCACATGCCTGTAGTCCCAGCTACTGGGGAGGCTGAGGCAGGAGGATTGCTTGAGTCCAGGAGGTTGAGGTTGCTGTGAGCTAGGCTGATGCCATGGCACTCACTCTAGCCTGGGCAACAAAGTGAGACTCTGTCTCAAAAAAAAATAAAAAAAAAATAAATAGAATCACATCAGTGTTAAGGGTTAATTTGTTCTTTGCTGAGGCTGGAATAGTAATTGGAATCAAGACATCCCAATTTAGGAATGGGAGAGGGATTGAGAAACTCTATTCTGTGTTCCCTTTAGATTTTTCTATAGTTCAGAGAGATGAGGAAGAACCTAGGCTGGGGACTTTCAGCATTTCTAACCAAATATTATAGTTCGAACTTGCCCTCATCACTGAACCATCTGCTGCTGTGAGGTAGGCAATGTTTTCCAAAGAAATAATTTAGAATAATACTGCAAAAACCAGTTACCTTTCTGTATAGTACCAGAAACGGGAAGCTGGCTAGCATGAAGAAACTGAAATAGAAACTACATGAAATTTTGATCAACTTACTGTTTTAGTTTACATTTTTATTATTTTCCATATTATAACTTGTGCATTGAGCCTAGGGAACTAATGAGAGCTCATTCGTGGCTTATGCACATTGAGTTCCTAAAGGCTTCAGAGTTGTGAAACATCTTGGACTTTGGAGTTATGAAACAGAAACTACCATTTTGTTTATAAATTGTTTTCAGACTTTTCTTAGAAATAAGATAATAGGAAGTTAAATGGTTTGAAGAAGATGGGAGTGTGGAGGAGGAGGCAGAAAGAAAAGAATATAATCAATCACTTTTATAGGTTTTGAATATATAACATCATTCAGTATTTTTTTTCTTTTTGTTACAGTTAATTTAGTCTTATAATCTTTGGACCATTTAAAAAAGTAAATACATAATTGTTTATCATCTTACAGAAATATAATTGTTTATCATCTATCTTAAAATAAATGTAGACTAATAATTTTAAAATCTTTTACTTTTAAAATTAACAGTAAAAAATTTCTGTTTACCCTTCATCTAGATTCACCAGTTATTAACATTTTGCCACATTTTCAGAAGACATTTCTTTACCCCTATTTTAGTATATGTATCCTCATATCAAAGACATTCTTTACACATCCACAGCACAATTATTAGAATCAGAAAAATTAACATTGACACAATCCATGTGTAAATTCATATTTTGCCAATTGTCCCTATAATGCTCTGTAAAGCCAGTACATTTCTTACCCACTTTTGCAAAGCATTATTTATTCCAGATGAATAACAGTAAGGGGCTTCTGTGATACTTGTTTTTATCCCAGGTTATTAGTAAATGAGTGTTTACATTTCATAGCAAAGAACCATATTCAGCTGATCTATTTCATGTTTTAACACTTTAGCATACCTGTCACTGTGACACTGTTTATAAACAGATCAGAATTATTAAAATAAAATAATCTGCTTTAGGCAATTATTGTTTTTTTCTTTGATACTTTGAACTTTTTATCCAAAAATGAATTCAAAAAAATTTATTAACATATTATTTGTCACTTCAAATCTTAAGGATCAGCAGACTTTTTCTATTTTTTACTTTAACCAAAATTAACATCACCAAAAAGGGGGCAAACAAAAATCATGTTCTGGCCAGACGCAGTGGCTCACGCCTGTAATCCTAGCACTCTGGGAGGCTGAGGCGGGCGGATTGCTCGAGGTCAGGAGTTCGAAACCAGCCTGAGCAAGAGCGAGACCCAGTCTCTACTATAAATAGAAAGAAATTAATTGGCCAACTAATATATATAGAAAAAATTAGCTGAGCATGGTGGCGCATGCTTATAGTCCCAGCTACTCGGGAGGCTGAGGCAGCAGTATTGCCTGAGCCCAGGAGTTTGAGGTTGCTGTGAGCTAAGCTGATGCCACGGCACTCATTCTAGCCTGGACAACAAAGCGAGACTCTGTCTCAAAAAAAAAAAAAAAAATCATGTTCTTCTGCATGTGATACCTGGAGAGAGAGACAGTGTCTATTTTGTCCTATTTTAGCAAAAAATGTATAACCTTAATCCAGTCATGACACAACATTAGACAAACCAAATGGAAATTCTATAATATTGCTAGCCATTATTTTTCAGAAATGACAATGTCCTTAAAGACAAAGGCCAAGGAACTGCTCCAGATTTACAAAGACTAAAGTGACAGGAAATAAAATGCAATGTATGATCCTAGATGGAACTTGTCCCTGGTGGGGAAAAGTGACTTATAATAACAATATTGGGGTAACTGACAAAATTGGAATTTGTACTGTACATCAGCAGTCCCCAACCCCTGAACTGCAGACTGGTACTGGTCCATGGCCTGTTAGGGACTAGGCCACAGAGCTCTGCATCCCACCTCCCTGTTCCCATTTGTGGAAAACTGTCTTCTATGAAACTTAGAAACTGGAGGGAAAGGATGCATAGCAGGAGGTGACCAGCGAAACAGCAAGCTAAGCCTCATAAGCTTCATCTGTATTCACAGCCACTCCCCATCGCTGGCATTACCACCTGAGCTTACCCCACCACCCCACCATCACTCCCCCTGTTCCATGAAACTGGTCCTTGGTGCCACAAAGGTAGATAATACCACTGCTGTAGATAATACAAAGTAATGTATCAATGCTTAATGTCTTTTAATGTGATAACTATAATGTTCTACAACAGAATATGCTTGTTTTTTAGGAAATACACACTCACGTATTAAGGCATTTGTAGTATGCAGACTCTCTCAGAGGTTAAGAAAATAGAGTGTGAGTGTGTGGGTGTGCAAGGAGAGGAAATGATAAAGTAAAAGTAGCAAAATGTTACTAAATGGTGAATCTGGGAAGAATACACAGAAATTCTTGGTGCTATTTTTGCAGTTTTTCTATAAATTTGAAGTTTTCACTACCAATTTTTTTTCTTAATTTGATATTGAATGTCTAAGAGCAAGTGTATTTTCTTCATTATGAATAGGTAAGTCCTTTATCCTGACTGAGAAAGTCAGTTGGGGCTTCTAAGAAACTGACTGTAAACAAAGCAGCAAAATCCAGAGCTAAGAGCAAAATGATATTTAACAGTGTTGTTTTGTGGAACAGGTTCTCAAAAGTTGGTTGAATAAGTACTTTTTTCTTGTTTTACTTAGATATTTTATGACCTGGTCAGACAGATAAATAGAAAAAACACAGTGGAAAAGAAGAAGCCTAAAAAGAAATCATGTCTGCTGCTCTAGGCCCATAGTCAGCAGCAGCTCTGAGCCAGGTAAGATGGTAAGGCCGAAACAAATACCTTTCTCGTCCTCTTATTTTGAGTTTTTCCAAACTTTAACCACTTCCCATTTTACCTTATGCAGTCTTTCTAAGTATCTATAACTTATAAATGTGATATATAACTTGTAGATACATTTATCTATTGGATAACTTGCCCTCTTCCCATGAGATTCAAAGCTTTGAGGGCAAGAACCAAATCTGCTTTGCTCTCCACTGAGACCCAGTGCCTTCTAAAGAATGGATATTCAAATAATACTGGCTGAATGAACAGAATGCCTTCCTAGATGACTCCCAAATTCATCCTGAGTTGAAGTGAAACAGTGGTCCTTCTGAAGCAGAAAGACATAAGGACACATTTGATGAATTATCTCAAAGTGAACACTCTGATATGTATCAACAGTAGTCACTCCTCAGTGTAACCTCTGGCCTGATTTCTAACACCATACATTAGTGTTGCTGTCTTTGAACTTTACATAAACAAAACATGAAGTATTATTTACTTCTTTCACTCAAAATATTTTTTGAGAATTATGCATGTTGCATGTAGCAGTAGTTCATTTTATTGTATGACTACACTAGCAATATATTTATATATTCTTCTAGTGGTAGACATTTGGGTTCTTTTGGGTAATTAGTATGAATAATTCTGTGCACATTCTCATATATGTCTTTGCGCACGTGTGCATGCATTTCTGTTGAATATATGTCTAGGAATAGAATGGCCATATCTATACTATACAAATGGACAACTTTAGTAGATACAGCTAAAAAGGTTTTCATAGTGGTTGTATATGAGTTCCATATCCCCCTCAAAATTGGTATTGGTAGCCTTTAATTTGAGCCATTGGTGTCGATGTGTAGTTGTATATCATTGTAGGTTTGGTAGTTGTTTCTTCTCAGGTATGGGTCAACTTCTTTCATAGAAACATTTCATCTGTAGCCTTCTAAGTATTAAATAGTAGTTGACTTTAAGTACCACTTAAGTTTTCATTAAGTGGCCCCATTAGAGAGAAATTAGTGGCAGCATTTAAGCTGTCTATCAAGTGAAAGACCAGGCCTATGGGGACTATTTATTTGTTTTTCTTTAATTATGTATTCAAATCCCCTGAACAGTTTCCATTTCATCAACTCCATAAATAATACCATAAAAGAATATTTTTATGGAGTGGATTATGACATAATTTGATGTTAATTATATGAATATTACTAAACTCAGTCCAGTTAAAGGAAAGTAAACTGTTCCCACTTGAGAGATGATTACACTAACTCTTATTTAAGTCTCTTGGGTCCTTTAGTAGATTATTTCTTCCAGAGCTCTAAATTAATCTGTGCTTCCTTAGAGATATGAATGAATATCCCTTCAGGGTAACAACTGAGTAATTATACCCCTTTTTAAAGGAAAAGTGGGCAGAAAGAAGAAAAGAGTATCGGGATTGTCTCTGATAGTAAGATTTAGGAAAGACAGCTTCTGACCAAACGGTTGCTTTAGGCCTGCTGTCCCCAACCCCAGGCCTCAGACCAGTACCAATCCATGTGAGGCCTGTCAGGAACAGGGCTGCATTGCCACCTGAGCTGTGATATCCCCCACTCTAATCCCATCCAGTCCCTGGTACCGAAAAGGTTGGGAACCACTACTTTAGGCCTTTAGCGAAATCTTGGTTTAATAACTTTGAATCATCAGTTCCCTGAAAGTGATTATTGTTAAGACTACTGGTGTTTGTGTGTGTTTAGGTAAGGGTGGAAAGGAAGGAAAAATGAGAACTCTTATAGTTGACTGCCTCATTGACACCATTACCTTGGCTGGCCCTAGTTTAATTTCCTATTCTCTTGGCTTTTGTTTAAAGAAAAAGGTGCCACCTCCTGGCCTATTGTGATTTTAAAATTTCATTCATACATACCCAACAGTGTGACAGTGTATTATGAGTTTTACTTAGAGGAGATAAATCTTGACCTTGATCTAGAAAATAAGACTTTCATCCTGGTTACATAAATTCTTAGACCCTGATATGTAATTCAGCTTACAATATACTTAATAAGTCACCTGAGATCTCTGGATGTTTGATAATACCAAATAATAGATGACTTGGCAATCAGACTACTTTGCAGTGCATTTTATTGTGATTATAGACTTGAAATGCCATGTTCCTGTACTTTTAAAAGTGCTGGATACAGGGTAGATTTAAATAGTAATTACAAACACTAAAGTAGGAGTATATGAACCTTCAGGGCAACTGATCTAGTCTGTAGCCTTTAGCAAAATCGCATTGAAACATGTTAATCTCTTTTTTATATATCCCATATTTAAAGATCTCTGAGAGAAATTCATCATCAGTAATTCTTCATTTAACCTAATTCTCTTCTGTTGACATTAAGACTAACTGTGGGCTGGACGCGGTGGCTCACGCTATAATCCTAGCACTCTGGAAGCCAAGGCAGGAAGATCGCTCAAGATCAGAAGTTCAAAACCAGCCTGAGCAAAAGGGAGACTCCCCCCTCTCTACTAAAAATAGAAAGAAATTAATTGGCCAACTAAAAAGATATAGAAAAAATTAGCTGGGCATGGTGGTGCATGCCTGTAGTCCCAGTTACTCAAAAGGCTGAGGCAGAAGGATTGCTTGAGCCCAGGAGTTTGAGGTTGCTGTGAGCTAGGCTAACACCACGGCACTCTAGCCCAGGCAACAGAGTGAGACTCTGTCTCAAAAAAAAAAAAAAAGAAAGAAAGAAAGAAAAGAAAACTGAGGAATAGCTAAGCTAATCAATTATAGACTTCCCTCCTGTGAACTCAGTCTTATATCTTTGATTATTTTTTAAATATTTTTAAAGGGAATTTAAAATAGCCCTGTTACCATAGCTGTTTGTTATAATTTAGTTCTCTAGTGATGATCAGCCAAAATCATTGTTTCTTTCTATATTATTGAATGTCTTTTTGTTTGCCACCATCTTCTGACATAAGAGATTAACCGTATATATATGTATAATCCATATCATTCAATGTTCTAGATTTCAGGAATGAAGAACTGTTGCCTAATTGGAAAGTGCCAGCATTCCAGACTTCAAAAAATAAATCTGAAGAGGCTTCTTCTGTTTTATATATTATGTGAAGAATTTAGATCTTATATTGGTTTGCACAAGTTCCCTGGAGAAAAAAAATTGCTCTGTGTATATCTCTTGGAAAATAAGACAATAGTATTTCTCCTTTGCAATAGCAGTTATAACAGATGTGAAAATAAATATACTTGACTCTAATATGATTATACAAAAGAGCATGGATGCATTTCAAATGTTAGATATTGCTACTATAATCAAATGATTTCATATTGACCTTTTTATCATGATTCTTCCCTGTCAAGCACTAAAAAAAGTTGAACCATTATACTTTATATCTGTAATGATATAGATTATGAAATTTCCCCTCAAACTCATTGCAGCAGATAACTTTTTTGAGTCATTGACTTCATTTTATATTTAAAAATTATGAAATATCATCTGTCATTATATTCTAATTAAAATTGTTTGTGCATAATGCTTTGGAAAAATGGGTCTTTTATAGGAAAAAAACTGGGATAACTGATTTCTATGGCTTTCAAAGCTGAAATATATAATATACTAAACCAACTCTAATATTGCTTCTTGTGTTTTACTGTCAGATTAAATTACAGCTTTTATGGATGATTAAATTTTAGTACATTTTCATTTGGTTTGTGTGTTTTTGTTATTGTTTGTAGAATTAAGGCCTTTGTTTTATAATGACCACGTTGTTTTAAATGCAACAGTAGCTCCTTTCTGCCTGGTATCTGCAGAACACTTGGCTTTAAACTATACTAAGTAAACTGGTGATTTCTCTAGGAACAGACCTCAGCACTTTCTGTTCTAGATATATTTATTCCTACTATACAGTAAAATACATCAGACTACATAGAATAGTTTTGTATATTCTCTCTTGATCTTAAAGATTGTATCTTACTGAATAAAATATCCCACTGTGTATTATTTTTATATGTAAAAACATAAGTTTAATACTGTATCAGGGTTTAACTTTTACTATTTCAAATCTTCCACAGCTTGTAATTTCATCAAGGGAATTATTTTGCCATTGTTAATTTGTTGGGTATGAGCCCACCGTTGAAGTGTTAAATGTGAAAAATTTCAAACTTTTATAAGAGATTGAAGAATTTCTGAGAGAAGTGAGTGAAAGTTAAAACACATAAAAGGAATGTGTTAATTACTTTTGCTTTAACTATTTATGACATAGTATGGTGGTAGTAATATTGAAAGGATTGCTAAGTTAAAATTTTAGCTTCCTATATAGTGGTGCTTTTCTTTTTCTTCCCAGTTATTTCCATTTTTATAAAAGATAGGGCTTAATTAGGACATGGACCCAGGGTGATATTTTACTTATATAGATTCTGTAAAGAGAGTTAGAGCAAAAAGCTTGTCATCCAGTTAAGTGCTAGAAAAGGAAAAATAAAACAAGCAAACAAAAAACAAGCTTAGGAAATCCTGTGCCTTGTCCCCAAATATTAAGGAGCAGACCAGTCCTAGAAAGTCTAAATCATTGCTCAGGGATCTAGATACTATCTCATTGCAACTAGGTTATGAAGAAGTATTCATGCCTTGCTGAAATTTTCCGGGAGCATGGTCAGCCTGTCAGTTACTAAATTGAAATTTAAAAATCAAATGTAAGCTCTATCTAACCAACCTGGGAAATTGTTATTGTTTTGAAAAATTGGAAATTGTATTTTTTTGAGTTTCTAATAAACTTAGTTACCTAACACTTCCCTTCTGCTGATCTAGTTATGCATATGCATGGGATTGAGGGGCCAAAAATATAGCAAATTTTAAAAATAAGTGAAGCATCAGGGCCAGTTTGTCCAGGTCAGGGTGGCATATTTTATTTAAAGTCCTCTAAAAGTCATTCTGCTTTAAAACATCCTCACAAACATTTCCTTGGACTTAAAACTGTAGAATACATCTCACCAGTAAAATTTTCTAAATGTGACCTTGTTACATAGATTGTGTAGTTATTTACCAGATTAAGTAGAACATTAATAAGACTAACTCCAGGTTTCAGTGTGCTTGACTAGTAGCATAAACTCAGTGTCTTCTATTTTAGAATGTGATGGAGAAAGATGACTGTTATTAGATTCTTTTGTCACATCTTATACAGTCCACTTGGGTTAAAGGTGGAACCATCAAAAAAAAAATACCCTTTGGCACACAGTGGTATGCAGAGCAGAACCAGCTGAAATCCAAGATGTGCATTGCTATCTGAAGGAAATCTGTGGTTGCTGAGCAAGATGGAAAGGTATCCTGTTAGAAAATGAGAATATAGGTGTGTTTTTATATTATCCGGAGGTGAATTCCTTAATCTTGGTTCCAGAGGGCAGGGTGCCTGAAAATCATATGTATTTTTATAGCTGAAAAATCTAAAGTCTCTAGGATATTATATGAATCTCAGTTAATATCTAGGAACTGACAAATATCTAGGAACTGATAAATATCTAGGAACTGACCTATACCATATTAGTATTCATGGCTAAAGTATAATGGCTTTGGTTATATGAGTGACATGTAATTTAAAGAGGCTTGATGCCACAGTTGATAGTTTTGTTTTTTTCAACTAAAACACAAATGACTTTAATGGCTTGGTAATTCCCCCAAACAATCTAGTTTTAGAAATTAACAATAAATATATAATCTAAATATGATCTTATACTCCACCAGGGGGAGCTTCAGTATCAGTTAATACTTCTACAAGTATTGAAGTCTGTATTCAAGCCACCTATTCTATAGACACTGCATACTTCTCAAAGAGTTATAGAGGCTGTCCCTCCAGAGTTTACGCTCTAATAGGGCAGGGAAGATATACAAAAAATTCATCAAAGATATAAATAACACTTTAATGTACTGAAATGTGGCCACATGGTAGTTCTCTTAAGAATGTTTGGAGAAATATGGTTGTTGGTATGTAACTCTCTTCTCCCTACAACTGTGGACAAATCTGTGTTTGGCACCTTGATCTGCCATCATAAATGGCCACCTTTTACTCCTCAGTGAAAAAATCCACTTCTTTGAAGCTATAATGTACTTGGAAAAGTTAATTCTTAGGGAAAATACTGATCTTTATTTTATTACCAACTTTATTAAAATAGATTTGGAACTCTTTTTCTCTACATATGAGTAGTAATAAACCATTTTCTGGACATGGCCAATTTAAAATATATTGCTCCCTTATCCTTATAGGTACACATATATTTGTCAGTTCATGTGCCTTAGTTTTGTTTTAGGACAGAAAGAAATAAGGAATACCTTGGTATTTTCCTTTGTAAGCACTCACAGTAGAATGTTAGAAAACATAAAATATACTCTTACAAATTGTATGTTTGTTGAAACCAAAGTGTGAAGAAATTGTCAGGTATTTGGAGGAGGAAAATAACCTTTTCTCTAGTTTGAGTTTGCTTAATTAAGGTGCTAAATATGTGTTAAAATAGCCTCTCTTGAATCAGTTTCAAACTTAAAGGGGCAGAGTGGTTTGGATGCTTGTCCAGGATCTGGAAAGAGCCATCTTACGGGGAGAGAAATGAATGTCAGCTTTGAGGCAGTCTGACCACCCAGCTTTTAGCATGTATGTTCCCAAAAATGTAAAAAATGTAAGTTATGCTTGAAAATGTAGTTCAGACATTACATTAATCATGGATTTTTCTTACTGCAATTTCATCTTGAGATTGTTGAATGTGCAATCCATTTATTGCCCTGTCTAGCTTAAATATTCTTGTTGAGAACAGCTGGAGGCTTTGGGTACCTAGTTTTCTGGAAAGGCTACAAAGATTCTGTTTTGCAGACATTAACTGAGTTTTAAAAGAGAATTGGGGGATGCAAGGTCTTTGGGCTTGTTAAGCGGCCTCCTGTGGTTCTGGGCCCAAGGTGTGACATACATTTCCCACTAATTGCTTCTCTCAAGAAGCAAGAGATTGGCTGTTCCTCTTGAGGAAAAACCTTAATAAACCTTCCCATTCTAAACAGTGGTGTGACTCTTATTTCAAGCTATTGTTTTCAATGAGTTTTTTTAAAGATTCACCATGTTTAAGTTTTTGTGCTAAATGTCATAGGACATATAAAGCAGAACAGGACATGGTTCTTACAAGCCTATCAACAAATAATTATTGTGCTTTTGCTGTATGCCAGCTGCTGATCTGCATGCTGGTGTACAACAATGGACAATACAAACCAAGATCCTTCCCTTGTATTGTTTTTTTTTTTTTTTTTTTCTAAAAATATTTATGGATGGATTTAAGTATGATTTATCAGTTAAGGAAAGTAAACTGTTCCCACTTGAGAGATGATTACACAACTCTTTAATCTCTTGGTCCGTTTAGTAGTATTACTTCCGGAGCTCTAAATTAATCTGTGCTTCCTTAGAGATATGAATGAATATCCCTTCAGGAAAAATGAGTAATATATCCTTTTTTAAAGGAAAAGTGGGCAAAGAAGAAAAATATCGGGATTGTCTCTGATAGTAAGATTTAGGAAGACAGCTTCTGACCAAACGGTTGCTTTAGGCTGCTGTCCCCAACCCCAGGCCTCAGACCAGTAAATCCATGTGGAGGCCTGTCAGGAACAGGGCTGCATTGCCACCTGAGCTGTGATATCCCCCACCTCTAATCCCATCCAGTCCTGGTACGAAAAGGTTGGGAACCACTACTTTAGGCCTTTAGCGAAATCTTGGTTAATAACTTTGAATATCATTTAAAGCTACTGGTGTTTGTGTGTGTGTAGTAAGGGTAAAGGAAGGAAAATGAGAACTCTTTATAGTTGGCTGCCTCATTGACACCATTACCTTGCTGGCCCTAGTTTAATTTCCTATCTCTTGGCTTTTGTTTAAAGGGATCTCTGGCCTATTGTGATTTAAAATTTCATTCATACATACCAACCGTGTGACAGTGTATTATGAGTTACTTTAGAGAGATAAATCTTGACCTTGATCTAGAAAATAAGACTTTCATCCTGGTTACATAAATTCTTAGACCCTGATATGTAATTCAGCTTACAATATACTTAATATCACCTGAGATCTCTGGATGTTTGATAATACCAAATAATAGATGACTGATCAGAATACTTGGCAGTGCATTTTATTGTGATTATAGAATAGAAATGCCATGTTCCTGTACTTTAAAAGTGCTGAGATACAGGGTAGATTTAAATAGTAATTACAAACACTAAAGTAGGAGTATATGAACCTTCAGGGCAACTGATCTAGTCTGTAGCCTTTAGCAAAATCGCATTGAAACATGTTAATCTCTTTTTTATATACCATATTTAAAGATCTCTGAGAGATTCTCATCATATATTCTTCATTTAACTAATTCTCTTCTGTTGACATTAAGACTAACTGGGGCTGGCGCGGTGGCTCACGCCTGGAATCCTACACTCTGGGGGAAGTCGCTCAAGATCAGAAGTTCAAAAACCAGCTGAGCAAAAGGGAGACTCCCCCCTCTCTACTAAAATAGAAAGAAATTAATGGCCAACTAAAAGATATAGAAAAATAAGCTGGGCATGGTGGTGCATGCCTGTAGTCCCAGTTACTCAAAAGGCTGAGGCAGAAGGATGCTTGAGCCAGGAGTTGAGGTTGCTGTGAGCTAGGCTAACACCACGGCACTCTAGCCCAGGCAACAGAGTGAGACTCTGTCTCAAAAAAAAAAAAGAAAGAAAGAAAGAAAAAGAAACTGAGGAATAGCAACTAATCAATTATAGACTTCCCTCCTGTAACTCAGTCTTATACTTGATTTTTTTTAAATATTTTTAAAGGGAATTTAAAATAGCCCTGTTACCATAGCTGTTTGTAGTAATTTAGTTCTCTAGTGATGATCAGCCAAAATCATTGTTTTATTTCTATATTATTGAATGTCTTTTTGTGTTCCACCATCTCTGACATAAGAGATTAACCGTATATATATGTATATCCATATCTATTCAATGTTCTAGATTTCAAAATGAAGAATCGTTGCCTAATTGGAAAGTGCCAGCTTCCAGACTTCAAAAAATAATCTGAAGAGGCTTCTTCTGTTTATATATTATGTGAAGAATTTAGACTTATATTGGTTTGCACAAGTTCCCTGAGAAAAAAAATTGCTCTGTGTATATCTCTTGGAAAATAAGACAATAGTATTTCTCCTTTGAATAGCAGTTATGATGTGAAATAAATATACTTGACTCTAATATGATTATACAAAAGAGCATGGATGCATTTCAAAGTGTATATTGCTACTATATAAAATGATTTTCATATTGACCTTTTTATCATGATTCTTCCCTGTCAAGCACTAAAAAAAGTTGAACCATTATACTTTATATCTGTAATGTAATAGATTATGAAATTTCCCCTCAACCTCATTGCAGCAGATAACTTTTTGAGTCATTGACTTCATTTTATATTTAAAAATTATGAAATATCATCTGTCATTATTTCTAATTAAAATTGTTGTTGCATAATGCTTTGGAAAAATGGGTCTTTTATAGGAAAAAAAACTGGGATAACTGATTTCTATGGCTTTCAAAGCTGAAATATATAATATACTAACAACTCTAATATTGCTTCTTGTGTTTACTGTCAGATTAAATTACAGCTTTATGGATTTAAATTTTAGTACATTTCATTTGGTTTGTGTGTTTTTGTTATTGTTGTAGAATTAAGCCTTTGTTTATAATGACCACGTGTGTTTAAATGCAACAGTAGCTCCTTTCTGCCTGGTATCTGCAGAAACCTTGGCTTTA